AGCCCTGCGTGTTGAGTCTCAGCTCACCAACACCAATACGGATAATCAGAGCTTTTTGGCCTTCCAAAACCACCAATACCCAACATCCAACACCAATAAGCTTCATCATCCTCCTCATAATACCAATGCCATACACACTATCACTAAAGACCAGCTGGCTGTCAGTCAGCGTAAAGATCAATGGGAGGCGCGGGCCGGAGCCTGAAGGCCATATTTGTCTGGGAGTCGTGACGAGGAAGAGACTGTGGACAGGGTAAGTAATGGTTAATGATCAGCTCTTCTGATCAAAACAACAGTACTGGACTGATGTCACACAGATCCGCATCAATCACCAAGGACAGCACCAGCCAACGACCTCACCTGCGAGGCCGCACGTTCAGTGGCACCCTGTCGACATGGCCTTCGGGCACCTACAAATGATTGCACCAAAGGAGGGGATGGGGGGAAGGAGTGGACACTCCAGCACCCAGTATGGGAACGAAGTACCTGTCTCAGACGCCGCAGAAACGCCTCTCGCTATATTATAATACATTGAACTGTCACTTTTTGCTCCTCGTGGGTCCATAAATTGCGCAGTGATTTGTGGTCTACCCATCAGCAGTTGTAGTCCAGCCTGTAACAGGCTTCCTACCACTGACGAAAAAGACTATCCCTAAGACTGTAATGGATATGAGTGACATGTGAACTCCACTCCGTACATGTAAATAATCAGGCCTTCATAAAATCTTCTACTCCAACATCTGACCCAGTGATGACTCGAAACCATATCCTTGCGACTTCCACAGTCTCCTGAGCCAGTTTGTCCATTCCTTGTAGCGTATAGCCCTCCCCCATATATTTCAGCGCCCTGACAACTTCGACATTGACCAATCCCAAGTTCTTCACCACACTGAAGTGCTCGCCCTCGACCCGTGTGGTTATGCCAAAATGGCTGAGTAGCTTCCTTGCTGACTCGATCGTCTTGTCCGTGCTCTTCAGTGTCCTCCAGGCTTCCGTAAGAAATATTGTAGGATGTACAAGACACAAGCGTGGAAGTCCTGCGTAGACTTTGTCATCGTACAGGGCTTCGAGATCTCTCAATCGCTTCGTGAACTTCTTGAGTGCCGTAGTAGTAGGCTTATCTCCCAGCCTCATTGCCGTTATCCTCAGCTCCTCAAAGATTTCCATTCTCTGTTTTTCTTTGGCCTGGCCCACTGATTGGTCAAAAGTACACAATGTACAGTTGCATCTAAATCCCCAGGTAGTCTCAAACTTCTGCTGGCGTGTCTCGTATTCCAGCTCGGGGGCAAGGTACTGGGTTGTGATTTCCTCGTCTTGCTCAATGTCACGGGCGGCGCGGAGAAAGAGCATGTCGCCTATGAAGCTTCGGACGCTATTGGGCAGGCAAGAATGGTTCATATATGACGAATGAATCCAGACACCATTACGAACTATGGAAGGCGCTGAGAGGAGATCGAGCGAGCGTAGAGGGACGGCGAAGCAGTTGCGACGACGAATGTGTTCGATGCGAAACCTGCAGCACCTCAAGTCAGCCATCGAATATAAGGAATGACGGGTTTCTTACACATCCACAGGCTCCGGTTGGTTATCATGGACCGCCCAACCGTGCTTTTGCCAATATCCTCCGTCATCCATGTCAAAGAAGCGCTTGCGCTGACTCGGGTTGTGCAGCAACTTTTGCACCAGCTCCTTGAACAACAAAGCACCCGCTCGATCTGATGCCGTACCGTCACCAATACTGTACAAAGCGCAGTCACTGCTTCTATCGTTGAAGATGTAGCCAGGCAACGCGAATGCCTTCTCTGCTATAATCAGATCACCCGTCTTGAAACTCCGTGATGCAAAAAGGCCACGGCCATGGTGCTTTGTGTCCTTAATCTCTGTATCACCAATATAGCTTGCTGCATCAACATGTAGCGACAGGGGCCCAACGCTAGATAACAAGCCCCGGAAATCGTATGCAGTGCTTTCTTGATATTCTCCAAGGTCCATTCTAATTCTGGCAGCAAGTTCTTTGAGCGGTCGAGGAAGGCTGTGGAACCAGTCGGGGAGGGATTGCGAGTCTTTTTGGTACAGTGGCTGGCATATAAGGGTGATATCGTTGTGAATCATGGCAGAGTCAGGGTTGGTAGCTTTCGCGTTGGTCAAGATGGCGCGCGAAAGATCCTGCGCTGCGTCGTCAATTCGCAGCAGGACAAGATTAACGCCACAGCGTTTGCGCAGCAGATCAACCTGCAGCTTCAAATCTTTATGTAGCTCCGATAGCCCTAAGGCTTCGCCGTAACTGCTTGTCCTCAGCATGTCTAGTCATCAAGAGGACTGATGACATACAGTTTGAGCGCTTTGCGGAACTTCTTTTTCAAAAACATAGCATCTCCATCTCTTTTCAGAGCACATGCATCTTTGGTCTCAGTGTTTGCAACACCGCACCTCCACAGCTTAGGCACACTCTCAGAACTGGGATCGAGCACGACCAGGTCAGACGGCTGATCGACGCGGATATGATGTCCTTCGCCTGGTGCTAGACTCCAGCAAGGCTGCGCAATAGCCAGGATCGACCCAGCCAATAAGATTGGATCATGCGCCGTGTCGTCGAGATTGCATACCGTCAGACGGGCTGTACTTCCACGCTCATCTTCAATGACTGTGACAGTCGAAGAATAGACATAGGGCTCGGTCATAGTACGGACATATAATACAGAGTTTTTCCTACGCCCTCCAGTCCGTAGTTCGTCGATGTACACTTTCTCAGCTTGAGGAGTCGGTGTTGCTGCAGGTGGATATGGAGCTGGCAGGACGAAGCTTCGAGGTGGCACCATACCCTCGGCCAGTCGTTTCAGATTCCAATCGTGATCTTGCAGAAGGCTTGCCCTCGATTTCTTCTTGACCGGTGTCGTCCCAAAATTTTGCTGCTCATGGTGCTGTGGAGCGCCAATCTCGTCTGGGAGCTCCTCGTACAGGGTGCGGGCAGGATCTTGGCGTGCCATAGCTGATATGTCGATTGAAATGTCTTGGAAATCGACAGCTATGTTACGAAGTATTGTCTAACATTTTTGGAGGTCGGAAGCATTATATAACTTGTCCTGGCGAAATCTTGGCTTGTCAAGGTGGCTTCCGGAATTCGGCCCAGACACCCGTAAAATAATCTAATTTACATGTAACATGCTCGGGATAAGGAACACGCGTGAATACTAAGTACCACGTATGCCGAACCATGAATCACTAAAACAATTCTCATGGCGCTGTATTCCGGACCGGTATCTTGCGTGTCACTTTGTGCCGTCGGTTGTCCTGCAGATCTCAGGGTCTAGGGAAGAAGCCATTGACTTCAAATTGGGGGAAGATTTCAGGGTCAACAGGATGCTGGCACATATTCTCATCAGGGCACACTTTACCTGATTGTAATAAGGACCACCAAGTTATGTAGACAGACAGGACACGGGAGCAACTCTGTGGTCATGCCTCGGTCCGACCAAATCGTTGACGCTTGTGCACAGACCACACCTTCCTCCAACTTCACTCAGACATCACTGCAAACTTGCGCTAGAACGTTCGGAGAAGGAACAGTACAGCAGCAGCACCAGAGACACGCAAGGGATGCAACAGCTGGATTAGAGTTTTTTTTTCTTCGTAATCCAAATTTTCAATAACGGTTCAGTCCGTTCAGGTAGGTACGCATGTGGCGGTTATGCACACAAGGGAACATGTGTGGACATCAACAACTATGACAAGGTGCATGCATTTCCCTTATTCCATAAGCAAATTTGACCGAAGGCTTTCACTCAAAAAGCGCAAAAAGAAGTATCCCGCTCAATGCAAGCAAAACATGCGACCGCATATCGTAGAATTATTAGGACACTACACTTCTACACTACGGTAAAAAATTGTTTACTGTAGAATGGTACGCTAGGGGTTTACTATATAGGTGTAAACTAACCTTGTGTATACCCGTAAATAGGTTTAAAGTGGTGGTTTACTTTTAATAGTAGGGGTTTAAATTAAGTATAAAAAGTAGTTTTATTTCTATTATACGCTATAATACCTAACTAAGACTAAAAGGGGTAGAAAAGATTAGCTTTATGCTATACGCATATATGACATAATAATAAGTCATGATATTTTTACTAATAGGAGGTGGTGATAATTGAGGTGGTGGTGATAATAGAGGTGGTGGTGATAGAGGTGGTGGTGATAGAGGTGGTGGTAGAGGTGAGGGTAGATCGCTACCGCACTAGGTCACGAAGG